CCGGCTATAGCATCACAACCAGACAACTATTAAGAGGTGTAAGCACGTGGAGAAAGTAGCCCCAAATCCACTTTTAAATATACTCTCCTTCTAAGTGGTTACGAATCCAGCTACGAACTGCAAGGTGAGTAGTTCAAAATTACCAGCTGCTCTGCGGGAGAAAGATGAGGCTTTCTGCTCCTGTAAAAATTTAAAGCCTCGGAAACCCTGTTCAGGGTCACTGTGGGTCGGAACCGACTCAACGGCACTTAACAACAACTTCTAATTCTGGCAGTTAGGCTGTCAGAGGTAGATGAGGTACTAAAAAAAAATTGGTATCTGAATTAATTTTTAAATCTAAGCACAAGATGGAGTCATTTGCACGCAGAGCCTTCAGATTGCATGTTCTACTGCAATAGTCAATAAAACACAAGTAAATATCTTTCTGGTGTTCTCTGCATTCAGCAAAGATACATCTGGCATCACCAATGTCTCATTTCAGGACCTCTCCTGAATCTGGCTTGAATTTTTGGCACTTCTCTGTTTTTGAATTACCTTCTACAATATTATCCAACTGTTTTTGAATTATCTTCTACAATATTTTATTTGTGTGTCATACTGTTGAGTAATTTCCACATTCTGCTGGATCACCTTTGGAATGGGCACAGATATGGATTTCTTCCTATCAGTTGACCATGTTGCTGTCTTCCACATTTCTTCATTCAGACAGGTGAACATTTTCAGCATTACAGTCATGTATTTAAACATCTTAGAATACTGGCAATTCTTGGAGCTTTGTTTTCCGCTAATGCCTCCAGTGCAGTTTGGTCTTCCTTCAATATCATTCAGCAGGTTTCCAGAAATCCGAGAAAGGTTAAGGCCAGAGATCCTAGTGAACGGACTCCATGCCTACAAAGCACTCGATCAACAGGACAAATGGTTTAAGCATTACACAACCGTAAACAAGTTCAACCTGGAATACAAAGAGTTACAGACATAGGACAAATACTGGCTGCCCCCATCCAGTGGGATTTTCTTTTTCTCCCTTTCCGGAATTTTCCTAGCTTTCTTCTAGTTCTTTTTTAAATTAAACTGGCAACAATAAGTTTCCAGCCCATCGTACATGAATATACCCTAATGGTATAAAAGGTTTATTCCTAATTCAAAAAGTATTGTTTAATGCCGCCAAGTCGATTCCAACTCACAGCATCCCTGTATAGGGTTTCTGAGGAGCAGCTGGTGGCTTTGAACCAACAGCTTTGTGGTTAAGCAGCTAGTGCTGATCCAACACGATACCAGGATTCCAATTCAAGGAATATAAACAACAAACACTCACTGCACATTTTGGCCACTTTTTATAACTATGAAGGGACTTCAAAGTCTGTGGGAAAATGGAATTAAAAGATAATGGAGCCTTCCCCTACTTGGTCTCACCCAAGATGGTGGCACCTGGAGTAGCTGAGCGTCCCAGACTAGAAAGCAATGGATTTCTTGCTTCTGCCACAAATTTCCCCAGCTGAAGGAACACAGAAGAAGAAGCAATGATGCAAGAATGGTTTATGTTAGTTAATAAAAATAATAAAAAAAGCCTTAATAAGAAGAATGAATCAACTCTCTCTTCTGGAAAAAGAACATGATTTAGAACGAAGGTATGAGTTGCTGAACCGGGAATTGCATGCAGTGCTAGCCATTGAAGACTGGCAGAAGACTGAGGCCCAGAAGCGAGAGAACAGCTCCTGCTGGATGAGCTGGTGATCTTGGTAAACAAGCGCAACGCGCTCGTCAGGGACCTGGATGCACAGGAGAAACAGGCCGAAGAAGAAGACAAGCATTTGGAGCAAACTCTAGAGCAAAACAAAGGCAAGACAGCCAAGAAAGAAGAGATATGTGTTCTTCAGTAGGGCCAGACCAGAATCTCTCCCAACATTTAAGTGGTCTTGGGTCCCCAGATCAGAAAAAGTCAAACTCATTGTTGATTTAAAACTTTTAACATTTTTTTTTAATCACTGACCACCCCTTCTTCTCTCCTGCCTTCTAGATAATACACAGAACTCCAAAATAGCTTTGTTTCAGGATTTGTTTGTAAAGTAACCATTTCCTTTAAATCATGTGAAATGGATTTGCACAGACATCTTGTGAGTGAATGGTATTAGGGTGTTCAAGAAACTGTTCATAGAAGGAAAAGCACCATTTCCCTCATTAGTTTCCCTCATTTTTTGATGGGAGGGAAATTTGGAAAACATTTTTCGTTGTTGTTGTTAATAGCATAATGATGGTGGGAGGGGGGTAACATAGGGTATCAGAAAAATGTCATGAATGATTTTTTTCCAGTCCTGCCATATGTAACACTTAATCTCCTTACCTAAAATTTATAGCTAGAGCATACACAACCTACTTACTAAACTGTTCTATTTACCAGTGGGGCTTTCTGCAGTTGTTTTGCATTTCACTGTAAGGATAATAGTGTCCCTCTTCTGCCAGCCTCAGAGGATAGTCCTTAAACATAGCGTGAGACAAGTCCTGAGATTTAGAGGTGAGGTTTGAGGATGGGACTAACTGACATACATCAGTTTACAAAGACAGTTTCATCATTTGAGAATGCGCCATCTTTTCCTCTGGATAATTATTTATTACATCTTTATTGGTTCCTACACTTTTATTGGGTCTCAACATTGGCTCAAGAATGCTGTTAATATTTATTCTGTATTGACAGAAGTCTGTCTTGCCATTATGAGTAAATCTATCAATTAATAATATTTTCTTCTCTATCACAGCACTGTCATTTTGTTTTGTGAAAATGGCTATCTGTTCATTTATTACTGAGTCATATATAAATTTTCAATAAAAGCAGAAACTTTCTTACCTTAAAAAAAAAAAAAATGGAATTTTCCCACCTTTTTTCCTTTTTAATCTATTTTGTTGTTGTTAAGTGCCATCAAGTCTGTTCTGACCCACAGCAACCCTGTATAGGACTTCCAAGGAGTGGCTGGTGAGCTTGAACCAACAACCTTGTGGTTCAAACTGACTTTGCAGTCCAGCGCATTGCCCACAGCACCACACCAGGTTTATCTGGGCAAAGGATTCGGAAAATGGGTAACACCAAACTAAATATGCAAAAGTACACCTTCCACAAACTCTGTGAAGCCCCCTCATCTATCTGTCCCTAAACCAAAACCAAAAATCCATTGTCATCGAGTCAATTCCAACTCAAAGCGAACTTACATAGTGTGTCCAAGACTGTAAATCTTTACATGAGCAGACAGCCTCATCTTTCTCCTGCGGTGAGCCTGGTGGGTTTGCGGTTAGCTGCCCAATACCTAACCCACACTATCACGAGTGTTCTTATATATTTCCCTGCCATCGATAAATTAGCCTTTCCTCTGATCTTTGGAAAAAAAGAGTTACCATTTTAACTACTGTAATATAATAAAGTCCTTAATAATTTACATACTAATTCACAAATTAGAGAAGAACAAAAGTGTTATTGTTGCTGTTGTGTGCCATCCAGTTTGTGACTCACAGCAACCTGTATAGGATGTCTGAGGAGCAGCTGGTGGGTTTGAACTGCCACACAGGAAAGGTAACTTTAAATTGCTGATTTAACAAGTTTGTTATTGTGTGCCCGGTTGTTCCAAGTCATTATGACCCTGCAGGGTTTCTGAGAGCAACTGGTAGGTCTGAACACCAACCTATCAGTTACCAGTCCAGTGCTTATCCCACAGCACCACACTAAGGCCCTTAACACAAAATATTAATGTTGATAAAGGAAACAGTGAGACCTTCTCAGAAATACCTGTTGTAAGCAATGAGTTTCAGATTCCTGAAGTGCAGAAACTCAATCTACCTAAAAGAAGTTACCCACCACTCATCTGTTAGTTTGTGGCATTATGGTGGCTTGTGTGATGCTGGAAGCTATGTCACTGGTATTTTAAATACCAGATAGCTCACCCATGTTGGACAGGTTTCAGCTGAGCTTCCAGACTAAGACAAACTAGGAAGAGAGAGAGGCATACTACCTCTGAATCTTTAGCCACTGAAAACCTTATAAATAGCAGAACTTTGTCAGATATAGTACCAGAAGATGAGCCCCTCAGGTTGGAAGGCACTCAAAATATGTCTGAGAAACAGCTACCTCCTCAAAGTCCAGTTCATTGTCCATGAGGTTGCAAATGTTGTAAAGCTCTCAGGACCTTCATTAATGAAGCTAATGTGGCACAACTCAAAATGAGGAGAAACAGCAAAAATTCATTAATAATCAGAACATGGAATGTACAAAGTATGAATATATGAAAATTGGAAGTTGTCAAAAATGAAATGGAAGCCCTCTCAAATACAATGGTGGCACTGCAGAACTGTGGGAAGAGACAGTCCTTTCAGTAAATGTTGCCAGGCCATTTGAATATCCATTTGGGAACATGTGAGAAATCAACAATAAAAATGAAATGGAAGGCATAAAGATCCATATACTTCTCTTTCTTTGTGATGCCTAACTGAGCCTCCTGTCTAGGTGACTGACCTGGGCTAACCTGTTTCCTTATCCCCATAGGAGTCCTGGTGTGGCGCGGTGGGTTAATGCAAAGCCATTTGAATTGCAAGGTCGGCGGTTCAAACTCACCAGTTGCTCCTTGGAAACCCTATCCAGGGTCGCTATGGGTCGGAACCGACTCGAAGGCACTTAACAATTTCCACCGGAGCGAGCTGCCTTGTCTATCTCCCTGCGGAGCACTTGGTGAGTTCGAACCGCCGACCTCACCAACAGCAGCGGAGTACTTTAACGGAGCACCTCAAGGTCAGCAGTTCAAATCCACCAGCTGTTCCGAAGGAAAAAATGAGGCTTTCTGCTCCCGTAAAGATGTACAGCCTCGGAAACCCTATTAAGGGTCGCTGTGAGTCGGAACCGACTCCACCACAACCACTTTAACCACGGCACCATCAGTGGTCCTTCCATCACCTCAGCTCCCCTCAAAACACCCTTCTTAACACTCCAGGTCCTTAATGCCCTCTTTCGCCCTACCTCCTACCTGAACTTTCCGTCTTTTCAGCTCCGCCGCGTCCAGCCATACGCCGCAGGCCTCCTCCTCCGGCCCTCTCCGCCTCATGGCCGGTGAGACTTAACATACAGGGAACCGGCCGCAGGACACCTCAGAGAATCGCCATCAGCACGCCAGCCGACGATCAGATCTCGCGCCAACGCCAGGGGCGGGGCTACGACCCTGCGCTCCGGACGCAGGCACCGCCCAGACGCAAACACCGCCCTTCCCCAAGCCTTACCTCGTGGCTTAACCACAAAAATAAGCGCTGCTGTTTTCATGGCGGGGACTGCCTATTCCTTTTAATGAGGTCTTGGTGTTTTGGTGCTCTTCTCTTCAAGGATTACATTACGAAAATCATGCTGTGTAAAAGGTTCTCGACATCATTCAAGAATTTTCATTTTCTTTTTTTTTTGCTGACTTGCATTTACTATAAATATGATAGCCACCTAACTACTCAGTCTCAGGAGCCCTGATTGCGTAGTGGTTATGCGTTAGACTTGTAACCTCAAGGTCAGAAGTTAGAATTTACCAGCGCTCCGCAGGAGGAAGATGCTTTCTGCTCCAGTATGGATTTAGTCATAACGCACTACCACCACCACCCAGAGTCTCAGATCTTGTCTCATCACTTAGTCCTGACAAATCATCCCAAAAGGAAGGGGAAGGAGCCGAGATTCAAGTCCACTAATGCCAAAGCTGGACTTCTGGTGTGGCGCTCTGGGTTAATGTGCTTAACTGCAAAGTCAGTTTGAACACCAAGGTGGGCGGTTCAAGCTCACCAGCCGCTCCTCCGAAACCCTATACAGGGTTGTTGTGGGTCGGAACCGACTCAACGGCACTTCACAACAACACAATAATGTCAAAGCTGGGGTCCTGGATGGATAATACCCTAAATGTTTCAATCACTAGGATATTTAACAATGGAGTATTATCATTTTTGTACTTGTTTTGCTTTGTTCTTATCTGTGCTTGCTTATTTTCCTTCACTGCATATTTTTTAGGAGCCTAGTGTAATGCTGTAGGATAAGCACTAGACTACTAATCTCAAGGTTGGCAGTTCAAACCCACCAACTGCTCCAAGGGAGAAAGATGAGGCTTTCTGCTCAGGTAAAGATTTACAGCCTCACAAAACCTGTACAGCATCACTATGAATAGGAACCGACTGATGACGATGTGTGAATGAATCAAACTGAGTAAATATATTGCTTGTACATATATAAACAATATTATAAAAGTTCATATTTACATATACAGTAACTTTAAAAGAAAAGCCAAAAAATGAAGTCTTTGTTAAACTATAAAATGGGATTATGTGTATTTTAAACACATTTTTGTATGCCCTTTTAAAGCTTATTTAGTAAAAACAGTTCCCATCCCTTGTCCTTCAATAAAAATGTGCAAGGCCCCAACCCACTCTTGGCCTTGATTTCAACTCACAGTGATGGTATAGGACAGAATAGAACTGCCTCATAGGGTTCCCAAGGCCATATATCTTTTCGGAAGCAGACTGTCACATTTTTTTCCTGTGGAGCAGGGCTGGTAAGTGAAAACTATCCACCTTTTGGTTAGCAGCCAAGCGCTTTAACTACTGTACCACCAGGGCTCCTACCCTACTTCTACCCACTGCCAGAGTCAATTTGACTCATAAGAGATCTCATACAGAATTTCTGAAACTATAAATCTTTATAGGCGTATACAGTCTCATCTTTCTCCCTACAAGAAGCTGGTGGGTTTAAATTACCAAATTTGCCTAACTCACAGTGTCACCAGGGTTCTTTACCCCATCTCTAGGCAAGGCTGAAAAAAGGAACTGCCTCCCCACTTCACTCCACCCCTAGAAGCCCCAGCTTCCTCCGGAAAACCTCCTCCAACACTGAGCAGGGCTCACAGGGGACTCAGGGCCCCCTCCCTAAGGCAGGAGTCAAAAAGCTGAGAGAGGCAGTTGCTTTCACAGTCACTTTATTGCAAGAATTTCCAGGCCACCCCTTTCTGACCTCTGAGCCTTTGCACAGGCGTTTCCTCTCTGCCTGGAATGCCCTGCCTCTTCTCCACCTGCAAACTCCTACTCACACTTTCCAGCCCAGGACACTGAGGTCCCAGGACAACACTAATCTAAACCTTGATTATCTGGTATTGATTCCCAGGGTCCAGCCTGTGACCTGTCACTGAGTGTGTCACTGAATCATGAATGAAAGAATCAGAACAGAAGCTGGGAGTAAGGTGTCAGAGGCTAGAGATGGGGGACTTAGGGCTCACCATCCCAGCTGATGACTCAAGGGGTATGCAGGTCCTGGATTTAGATGCGGCACAATCTCCTGGGGGGCAGGGAGGAGGGAGGCAATGTTTCAAGGGACAGTAAGATCCTGTACACATTTTGAGCCAACCCTTTCACCACCTACCAATGAAATCTGGGTAGAGGGGCATGCTGAGGCCTCCCCTATCTCTCTGATCAAATCTGATTCTAGCCTAAATTCTACCTTCTCTCCACCCAAATCTAGAAGGGCTTCAAACCCGCATCCTGGCCCATGCTGGCCCCAAGTCCTTCCCCTAATGAGAAGTAGTAGAGGGGTGAGCCAGGGTACCCCACAACTTCATCTCTCTCTCTCTCCTGGGGCAGGTCCATGACAGAACCCCAGCAGCTCCCAGCTGATCCCCAAATCCAAGGACTGGCCAATAGCACTGTTGGCAGCTGAGGTGTGCACAGAAAGTCACTGTGGGCCAGACACAAAGCACTTTACCAGGCCCATGTGGAGCCAAGGTTGAACCCCTGAGTCCCTACACCTCCCTCTTCAGCAGCCACCACATGCGCCCCTTCACTTGGCCTTCCGCTTAAGTTTGCGCCGCACCAGCTGGCTCAGGAAGAACGCAGTAAGAACACTGCTGCCAACAGTGAGCAAGAAGAGGCCAGAGAAGTTGTGGGGCCAGCGGGTGTGCAGAGGCTCATAGATGGGTCGCCGGGCCTCATAGTCCAGCGCCACAGCCTCCAGCTGAGTCAGTGTACACAGCACCAAGAAAACGTGGAAGAGTTGGTGGCCTTGCCCAAAGACGTGGCAGCTGCCAGGAAACCAGCGCTCAGGCATAAAGGCCGAGAAGAAGGCGGCCGCCAGCAGGAAGAAGATCACCTGGCATTTGTGATAGAGAAGAGCAGGGTCGCCCACGGCAGGATCAGCAGACACCAAGATGCGGTGCACCACAGGGCTTATGTCCAGAGCATAAGCCAAGGCCGAAGGCATCTCCTGGCAAGTGCGGCCCAGTAGGCCTGGCTTCTGGCTGTACTTATTGTAGCAGGAACCAGTGCAGGAAAGCCAGGCGAGGAAGGCAGCCATGGGCAGGAAAATGGCCTGAACCTGTGCATGCCAGGCGGGCTCAATAGCATAGTAGAAGTGAGCCAGGGCACTGCCAAACTGATATACAGCCACACCCACGTAGTCCAGGAAGAAGAAACTGTAATGCCAGAACTCAGACTTGGCCTGCAGGAGGTGAGCCAAGGCACTCAGGAAGAGGTAGGTGAAGGAGGCGAAGATGATGATGAAGAGGGGCAGGGCGTGCTGGTCTCCCCAGAAGTCCACGGTACCCACAAAGATGGCCAGTCGCAGCAGTAGCACCAGGGCTGCCAGCAGGTGGGTCCACACGTTCACCGCCTCATTGTGTTGCTGGAACAGCGTGCGGAAGTAGAAGCGCCAGGTCCGGTGCAGCGGTCGGTAGCCCACGTAGATGTATGGCTTCCAGAAGAGCCGCGGCACTTGGGCTCGGTCCACTGTGAACACAGACTCGGGCTGCACAGATGGCTGAGACTCCTGGCGAACCTGCCGCAAGTTAGGCAGCAGGTGGCTGAGCTTCTGGGCCACCACTGTGGCCATGGCTGTGGGCCTGGGCAGGGAGCTGAGGAGAGAGGCCAGAGCATAGTCAACAGCAACCGCTGGGGCAAGCTTTGATGACCAGGTCCTCCTGCTTGCCCTTATCCCTTGATCACTGTACTAGGTCTAGAAAGAGAGGGGAGCTCAGCTAACCTTCATGAGAAAAGGATCTTAGTCTTTTCTGGTCCCTGATGTATCCCAGGTACATAGAACAGCGCCTGACACATAGCAGGTACTCAATAATTGTTTGAGGAATACATTAACTAGCAACCACCTCTGGACCTTCCCTCCTCCTCCCAGTCTTCATAGGGCTCCCGGCCTCCGTTACTCCCATTCCAGTCAGGGCTCCACATTGGAGACAATGACCTTCTTAATAAATCTGCTGTCTCCACCTCTAGCCTCTTCAAAATGGCCAAGACCACACCCGGTGACCTTCTGTTAGCTTGCATGATATGATCTCATCCCTGCTACTCTTTCCAACCTTATGTATTCAATCAGAATGTACTTCAAATGCAGTCACAGGCTCACCAAACCCTGGGTTTGCTGCTTCACTTTGCACAAACTCTTCCCTCTACCTGAGACATTTCCTTCATCTTGCCTACCTAGCAAACTCATATTCATCCCTCAAACCCTGCTGCTTCTGCGATGCTTTCCTTAGCCCCCTGAATCTTCTATGTTGACCCTTCTACTTGAAGGATAATCTCCTTTGATCATTGTAACACTTCTCATGGAGTTATTAATGTAAACTCATCAAAGATAAGCAGTTTGTCTCATTGTTTTATAAACCCCTGGTGCTTAGTATTGAATTACATTGGTACCGCTGGTATTCAATGTTTGTTGAATAAAAAACAACATCCGCTCATACATTCTAGGGCCTGAGGCAAAAAGCCACATCTTCCTGAACGTTCCCAGCTAATAATCGAGTTTTGCTCCTCAGTCATGCCCCTATTCAGAAGTACTCCCCAACCCAGCCCTTCCCATCCTCCAGCACAATTGTTCATTCCAAATAAATCAAGCCCTCCTCCCATGATTGGCTTGGCTCTCATTCTCATTTTTCACCAAGCCCAACTATCACATCGTATGCTAACTTCCTTGCCCTCCACATGAAGGGAGTACAAACCGCCACCTACAAAGGACACCCTGGACTGCTCTCCACTTTTCCTTAATTTCTGAAGGTACATATAATGTTGTTATTAAGTACCTTCCAGTTGATTCTGTTTCACAATGTCCCATAATGAGTCACATAACTTAGCATTCATTGGTTTAGCTATCAAGGAACCCTGGTGGCACAATAGGATAAGCACTGGACAGCTAACTGCAAGGTTGGCAGTTCAAACCCACCAGCTGCTCCACAGGAGGAGCAAGATTTGCAACCTCAGAAACCCTAAACAGGGTCACTATGAGTCAGAATGCACTTGATGGTACTGAGTGAGTTTAGACATCGCTTCCTGAATTCTCTTCCTCAAACTCCATGCTTGGATCCCGGGATAACAAGTAAACAGGGATTTGACCCTTGTCCTCAGGGACCTCATGGTCTGCTGAAGATTATAGACAGGAAAACAAATTATAGCAAATGCTTACAGAGAACTTGCTATGTGCTAGGTACTGTGTTAAGCATTTTATATCTAATTGACTCATTCAAGTCTTAAAACACCTATGAGGCAGATACTATCATGATTCCTATTTTCCACATGAGGAAACAGAGGCACAGAAATGTTAGGTACTTTGCCCAGCCACCTAACTAGGAAGTAAAAGGGCAATGCAAACTTAGTCTGTACGCATAACTGACACCTTAAAGTGCCCTTTGTAAAACAAGATGATGGTGGTGGTGTGCGTAGAGTCAGGTCCAACTCATAGTGACCCTGCATAGGGTTTTTGAGGCTGTAAATCTTTACGGGAGCAGAAAGCCTCATCTTTCTCTAGCAAACAGCTGGCCTTGAGGTTAGCAGCCCGATTCGTAACCCTGACGCTACCAGAGCTCCTTGTAAGACAAGATAGCAAGTGTGTTTTTTTTTTAATTAATTATGACATAATTATATGAGGGGCTTCAAATAGTTCATAGGAAATGGAATGACAAGATTATGCAATTTTTTCACAAACTTTTTGAAGCCCCTTCATATACTCTTTTGCCTGGTATCAGGAGCTCTAGTAGTATACAGGTTATGAGTCAGGCTGCTAACCTCAAAGTCAGCAGTTTGAAACTACTAGCCATTCCACAGGAGAAAAATGAGACTTTCAGCTCCCATAAAGATTTACAGCTTCAGAAACCCTATACAGGGTTGCTATGAGTCGGAACTGACTCCATGGCACATAACAGCCACCACCACCAGTTGCTTCATTAAGTTGCACAATCATTCATTGTGTCATTCATGAATCCAAGTATCTATTGAAAAAACTGTCTGCCACATAATTCTCCTCTCCAACCTCCTTTCCTCCCCCTAATAAATTCCCTCCAAAAAGCCTGTTGGATTGAGCAGCCAGGCTTTCTGTCCCATGTTCATCAGATATTTACTACAACCATCTTTGCACCAAAGGAGCCCTGTTGGTGCTGTAGATAAGCACTGGACTGCTAACCATAAAGTTGGTGGTTCAAGCTCATCAGCTGCCAGTGGGAGAAAGACAAGGCTTTCTGCTCCCGTACAGATTTACAGTCTTGGAAACCTTCTACAGAGTCACTATGAGTTGAAATTGACTGGATGGCAGTGGGTTTGAGGTTGGTGCCTTTGCAGCAGGCACTGTACACCGCAAGAAGATTCAAGCAGGAATAAAGCATTCTGTTTTTCTACCACTAGGGGCACCATGATTACCTCCCCAAATCTCCAGTTCATTCACACAAAGCCCAAGTAATACAGGGTGTTTGCTGTACAAAATTGGCATCAAGGCAGCCCCCCAGCCTCCCTGCAGTCTGATTTGCATCCCTCAGCTCCTCCCACACAATTCTAGAATCAGTCCCAGTTCTTGCCCTTGTGCTGCTGTTGTTAGTTGCCATTGATGCCAACGCATGGCGACCCCATGTGTACAGAGTTCTTCAAGGTTTTCAAGGTTGTACCTTTCAGAAGCTCTGGTAGCGTAGAGGTTACGAATCGGGCTGCGAACCTTAAGGTCAGCAGTTCGAAACTACCAGCCGCTCCGCGGGAGAAAGATGAGGCTTTCTACTCCCGTAAAGATTTACACCTTTGGAAACCCTGTACAGGGTCGCTATGGGTCGGAACCGACTCGACGGCACTTCACAACAACAACAACAACAACCTTTCAGAAGCAGATCACTGGGTTTGTCTTCCAAGGTGCCTTTGGGATGAGTTCAAATGCCAGTCTTCCAGCTAACAGTTGAGCGCTTAACCGTTCGTGACACCCAGCAACTCCTTTGGTTTTGCGTGTTGTTAAATGCAGTTGAGTGGGTTTCAACTCACTTGGGAAGACCTGGTATAGGGTTTCTGAGGAGCGGCTGATGGGCTTGAACTGCCAACCTTGTGGTTTGCAGTCCAGTGCTTGTCCTACAATGCCACACCAGGACTCATGTTAAATAAGTAATTACTACTGCAGAATGATTGCTGTAAAAGGAAAGCACAGAACTCTCATAATTCCCATTCCCCAGAAAGCCTGGCAGTCTTAAGAATTAGACCTTGCTGATAAACTACTTAATAGGGCCACTACAAGTTGGAGTGCTGGTGTGGCACTGTGGGCTAATGTGATGGCCTGCAATGTCAGTTTGAACTGCAAGGTCAGTGGTTCAAGCTCACCAGCCGCTCCTTGGAAACCCTATAAAAGTTGCTATGGGTCAGAACCAACTCAGTAGCACTTAATAAGAATAAGAACATCCACAGTAAGAGAATTTTCTGACTCATATTGCCTGCTGGGTAGCCAGAACTAAATTTCAAATAGACAGGGCTTTGACCTCAACAACCTGTCCTTCTCCCTTGCCCTTAGCTTTGTCTTTCCAACTCAGAACCTCAGAAGGCCAGGAAAGGCCTGTGAAGTCATCTCATGCAGCTCCCTTATTTTATGTTGAAGAAACCAGAGTCCAGAGTTAAGAAGACCTTTTCCATAGTTGCTACCATGACGGGCAGAGACCCAGGGCATAATGAATGTACTGGTGCTCTGTGGATACCTACCTTCCTGGGTCCTTATGACCTATTAAGTCCACTCTTAGAACTTCCCAAGGTACATTGTTATTGTTGTTAAGTGCTGTCAAGTTGGTTCTGACCTACAGTGACCCTGTACAGGGTTTCTGAGGAGCAGCTAATGAGCTTGAACCGCCAACCTTGTGGTTCAAATCAACCTTGCAGTACAGCACATTAACCCACAACGCCATACCAGGCCTCCTCCCAAACTATAGCAGTACATTAAGGGCTCTCAGAACTCCTGCTTAGCTTTATTGCACTCATAGCTTTACTTAATACACAGACAAGTTTATGTAACCAAGGATTCCTTTCCCAGTAATAATTCTATTATAAAGCCAGCCAAAATGTAATCAGTGTTTACTATATACTCAACTCTTTATAGTCTTGGTGCATTTCATTCTCATGATTAGCCCATGACATAGGTATTACACCATTTTGTTGTTGGGAATATGGAAGTTCCGAGAAGTTAAGTCCCTTACCCACAGTCACACACAAAGAGAGTGGTGGAATCAGGATTTGAACCCAGGCCTCTGACTGCAGACCAGACATTCTTTGCCACTCTGCTGCTGCCCTACCTCTATTGCACCTGTTTACATCCCATAGAGCAACTCTGGGAAATCTCGATCTAGAAGCAGGTCACTTCTCCACAATGAATTTCTTAGGCTTCAAGAAACTCACTCGCATTCAGGGACCTCAGTCTCCCTTAACTACCCACTGGCTTTGCCTCAGTGATGCTCTGGCTCAGATGCCTTCTCATGTGGGTGATAGTACTCACAACAATCCCCACCAACCCCTATACTCAAGAAGAAACCCCCAGAATCACCATACCAGAGTAGCATCTGTCCCACCACCACATTTCCTTCAGACCTCAGTCAGAGGCCC